TAATATGAGTACATTATATTATATATATATATTTATAGGGTACACATGATATTTTGATATAGGCATACAATGTGCATAGTCAAATCAGGGTAATTGGGATATCTATTACTTCAGTCATTTATTATTTTTTTTTTATGTTAGAAACATTCCAATTCCACTCCTGTAGTTATTTTAAAGTATACCCTAACTTATCATTGATTATTGTCACTTTGTTGTGCTATCAGAGATTGTTCATTCTATTTAAATATCTAACTAGATTTTTCCCCTATTAACCACTCCCATTTTATCACCTAGTACCCACTACCTTTCCCAGTCTCTGGTAACCATCATTCTACTCTCTGTCTACATGAGATCAATTGTTTGAATATTCAGCTACCCCATATGCGTGAGAACATGCAAGATCTGTCTTTCAGTGCTTGGCTTATTTTGCTTAACAAAATGTCTAGTTCCATTCATCTTGTTGTTGCAAATGGCAGGATTTCATTTTTTTGATTTGCATGTGTCTGATGACTAATGATGTTGAGAATTTTTTCATCTATCTGTTGGCTATATGTCTTCTTTTTTTTCTTTGTAGCACATTTTTTTTATTTCAGCATATCATAGGGGTACAAATTTTAAGGTTTCAAATAATGCCCTTTTCCCCTTCCCCTTACAAGTCTGAGCTTCCAGCATGACCATCCCCCAGATGGTGCACGTCTCACTCATTATGTATGTATATACCCGCCCCCTCCCCTCTCCCACCTGCCCAATACCCAATTACTGTAGTTCCTATGTGTCCACTTAGGTGCTGCTCAGTTAATACCAGTTTGCTGGTGAGTATATGTGGTGCTTGTTTTTCCATTATTGGAAAACTTCACTTAGTAGTATGGGTTCCAGCTCTAACCAGGAAAATGCAAGATGTGCTATATAACCATTGTTTCTTAGAGCTATAGTACTCCATGGTATACATATACCACATTTTATTAATCCACTCATGGATTGATGGACACTTGGGTTGTTTCCACAGCTTTGAAATTACATCTGGGAAAGTCTTTATTTCTTCTTTATATTTGAAGGATATTTTTGCAGGATATGTATTCCAAGGTTAAGGTTTTTTTTTCCTCTCTTTTTTCTTCATCACTTTGAATCTGTCATTCCATTCTCTCCTGGCCTATAAAGTTTCCACTGATAAGTCTGCTGCCAGATGTATTGGAGCTTGCTTATGTTATTTGTTTCCTTCTTTTTTTCTTTTCTTTAGGACCTTTTCTTTATCTGTTACCTTTGGAAGCTTGATTATTAACTGCTTTGAGGTAGTCTTATTTGGGTTAAATCTGTTTGGTGTTCTCAGTTTTAATTAAGCCTACACTAAGCACAAGGAAATAACAGTGGAAAAGAAAAGAAGATGGTGTTTCCTGCTCTCATGGAGTTAATAGTTTGTTGAGCACACCAGACACAGAACAAGCAATTGTGATTCATTTTGCTAAGGATTTTGGGAAGAGAATAATGTAACATGTGAAGAACTATAGCAGAGGGATCTAAAATCATGAAGGAGTCAACAAAAGTCTTCCCTGAGGAAGCCATTTCTAAGTTACATTTTAAGATCTAAAAGATGATGTGCTTGTTCTTCATCTGTTAGCTTCCAGGCCTCTTCAGTACTTCCATGCTCTGCTTGGAACTGCTGAGGCCAGGAGTCTACAGACTACATTTCTCATACTTTCCTGACAGCTGTCTTCTTGGTAGGAAGTGGGAAGCATTTTGGGGAGATCAGGAATAGGAAAGAAGAGAGAAGTTTCTTGTTTTGTGCTCTGTCAGGGATAGTCCTGACTGGAACTCTCCTATGATGGCAACAGTGAAATCGGGACTCCTGAGCATCTCAGCATGCAGGGCAGATGCAGCTTGGAGTTCTTGCAAAGGCAGAAGGTCCAGTGGTTCAGCAACAGGTTCAGGCTTGTGGGGTCAGCCCAGGGTGAGAACAGCCTTTTGATTTCTGTGTAATACCGCCCGCTTTTTTTTTTTTTTTATCTTGCTCCTCCAACAGACTCCCATTTCTCCTTTTTTGACTCCTTCCAAAAATTTTCTAAACAATTTACTCAACTGAATCTCCTTTGTTGAAACACTTAGCATTGTCTTCCTTACTGGACTTTGACTGAAACAAATGAACAGGAAGTAATTATGCAAAGAAAGGTGTGGAAGTGACAGGGTTTACCAAGAAGGAAAAACAATTTAGGGAAGTGTGAGGTAGATTTCTTTTTTGTTTTCTGGGAATTAAAAATTTAGTATTCTTTTGAGCACAGATAAATCTCAAAAAATAGTTACTGGTAAAGATTTTGATTCTCAAAAGCCTAATTCACCACTGTTCCACACCTTGAAATCAAAATATTTCATGGCCTATCACTGAGAAAATGAAAGCCACCAAATGAGAACTTCTCCAACTTCCTCCTCTGCTCTATTACATTTATATCTGAATGTTACTCTGCCTCTCTTCTTCCAGGAGAAATGATGCTTTTCTCCTATTCAAAAGCTTATCTACTATCTATTTTATAGGGCCAATACCCTGACTTCATCTGCGGATCTTGACATAGACATTTTCCCTATTCTTTTCTCTACCCTTTTCCTCTCATCTGTTTAATTTTTATTGTTAGCATGTAAGCATTCTTAGATTTGTCTCATACTTTGTCATCATATTACTCAGCTCCTATTAGGTTTTTCTTTTTCCAACAAGTCTCTTGGTTGGATATTTTATATTTGTAATTATTATTTTTAAAGGTAAATTAAAGGCAGGGAATATCGGAAGGAATAAAAGTGCACAACAAAAATTAAGTATATTTATATAATTGGAGAGTTAAAGAAAAATGAGAAAAAAAATGGCAGCATCTTAGAACTTATTTCTGTCCCAGAAATAGATTGGGTGGGGGGATGGGTACAAAAGCCAGTTTGAAAGTTTTTTGTTTTTTTTAGATTTGCAATAAAGTACTCCTTGATGGAACTATAGAAATATTTTATTGTATAAATGGTGTAAATGAGAGAACCGGAAACCCACATATAGAAGAATGAAATTAAAACCTTTTCTCATATTATATACATAAATGAACTCAAATGGATTAAAGGCTTAAGTGGAAGACCCCAAACCATGAAAATACTAGAAAAAAATAAACATAACAAAAAATTCCATGGCAACGGTGGTCTTGGCAGTAGTTTTTTGGATATGACCCCAAAAGCACAGACAACAAAAGCAAAAATAGATAAATGGGATTATATTAAACTAAAAAGCTTCAGCTTTTGTAACATTTATATACTTTTATAATATTTATGTAAGAAAGGAAATAATCAAAAGGGTGAGCAGGCAACCTACAGAATGAGAAAAAATATTTGCAAACTATACATTTGATAAGGGGATAATATCTAATATATATTAGGAACTCAAACAACTAATAACAGGAAAGCAAATAACATGATTTAAAAAATGAGTAAGGACCTAAATAGACATTTCTCTAAGATGTACAAATGGCCAAAAGGTATATGAAAATGTGCTCAACATCCCTAATCACCAAGGAAATGAAAACTGAAACCACAATGAGATATCACCTCACACCCATTAGAATAGCTATGATCAAAAAGGCAAAATATAACAATATTGGTGTGGCTGTGGAGAAAAGAGAACCCTGACACACCGTTGGTGGGAATGCAAATTGGTACAACCATTATGGAAAATAAATATGATGGTTCCTCAAAAATTAAAAAGGAAACTACCATATGATCCAGCAATCCCACTACAGGGTATATATCTCCCCAGAATAAAACAGTATGTCAAAAAGACATCTGCACTCCCATCCATATATATTGTGGTACTATTTACAGTAGTCAAGATATGCAGTCAACCTAAGTGTTCATCAGTATACGAATGGATAAAGAAAATGTAGTATGCATATACAATGGAATACTATTTATTCAGCCATAAAAAGAGAAGAAAATTCTGTTCTGCCATAACATGAATGAACCTGAAAAATATTATGTTAAGTAAAATAAGCCATGGACAGAAAGAAAAATAACTCATGATCTCACTCATATATAGAATAAAAAATGTTGATCTCATGTAAGTAGAGAGTAGAACAGTAGTTGCCAGGGTTTGGAATCATTGGAATGGGATGGTTGAGGGATGGTGGTCAAAAGATACACAATTTAAGTTAAGAGAAATAAGTTCAAGAGATCTATTGTAAAATGTGGGGACTATCGTTAGTAATATACTGTATTCTTAAGAAATGCTAAGAGAATGGATGTAGAGTGTTCTCATTACAAAAATAACTATTTGAACTAATGCATATGTTAATCAGAAAGATTTTGTCATTCCACACATGTATATATAATTCAAAACATCATTTTGTACACAGTAAATGTGTACACATTTATGGCAATTTAAAAATAAATAAATAAGTCTAGGATTGGTGGCTCCTGCCTCTAATTCTAGCTCCTTGGAAGGTTCGGGCAGGAGGATCACTTGAGCCCAGGAGTTTGAGGTTGCAGTGAGCTATGGTCATGTCACTGCACCCCAGCCTGGGTGACAGAGTGAGACCTTGGCTCTAACTAAATAGAAAATAATACATAAATAAATATTTTATTGTGAGGAATGGTAGTAAAGTCATTAACTAATCCAAAAAATATGAAGTGATGATTTTACCTTCCATATTATAACAGTAATTTATTACTAATGGTATTATTGTAGAATTAGAGTTTTAACAAATATGCAAAGCAAAAAAATACAAAAATCACTTTGAACTTGCAAACAACTATGTAAAAAGCCATTATTATTTTCACGTAAGAAAACAGCAGTGACTATATATTTATAAATATATTCATAAGCAATAATAATCAGCATCAACTTTAACATTACAGCCATTTCATGATGTACAATCAACTGATCACAATAAAATAACTAAATAAAAATCACTTTGTGATAAGAAGGCTCTATAAAGAAGTTTCAACTCATTCCTTGTTTTGAATTTCTACTGTTCATCCCCAATGTCTCATTTTATCTTCCCTAGTGAAATCACCTTGAGAATGGCCCTGCGGATCTGCTGGGTCTTGATGCTGTAGATAACGGGGTTCATCAGGGGAGGGAAGAGCACAGAGACAGTGCCCATGAGGATGTGCACCAGCGGTGAGGTGTGGCGACCAAATCTGTGCACAATGGACAGGCCTAGCACAGGCACGTAGAAGCAGAGCACAGCCAGGATGTGTGAGACACAGGTGTTGAGGGCCTTGAGCCGCTCCCCTGCAGAGGCGATGGAGAGCACGGTGCGGAGGATGCTGGCATAGGAGAGCAGGATGAAAAGGACATCGGAGCCCATGGCCAGCATAATGATGCACAGCCCATAGAGTCTGTTGAAGCGTGTGTCAGAGCAGGCCAGGCGGATCATGTCCTGGTGAAGACAGTAAGCGTGGGAGAGCGCCCCAGGGTGGCAGTAGTCAAATTTTAGTAGGTGCAAAGAGGGTGCAGCAGTGATAGCAGCACTCCGCATACCCAGCACAACCCCAGCCAGGGCCACACGAGGACCTGTGAGCACAGATGCGTAGCGCAGTGGGAATCGGATGGCCACCAGGCGGTCCAGAGCCATCGCAAAGAGCACGGCTGACTCCATGAAGGAGAAGGAGTGGAGGAAGTGCTGCTGCAGAACACAGGGCACCAGGCCCACTGTCCGGGCATCAAACCACAGCACACCCAGCACTGAGGGCAGCGTGGACATGCACAAGCCCAAGTCCGTCACAGCCAGGATGGCCAGGAAGTAGTACATGGGCTGATGGAGGGAAGGGTCAGTTCGCACCAGATGCAAGATAGTGGCATTACCCATAAGGGCCACAAGGTATCCTACAAAAATGGGCAGCGAAATCCACTGGTGAGCCCACTCCAGGCCTGGGAAGCCCGTCAGCAGGAATGTAGAGAAGCTCAAGTTGGTACTTGGTAGTGTGGGCATCTTCAATCTCAAGGCCTATTTAGCCTAGGAAGGTGGCAATGTGTGTGAAGGTTAATAGGCCAGTAACCACGAGCCCTGCCACTGTCTCTGCACACAGTCCCCTGCTAGCTGGTCTGGCCTCTCTGCACTGCCAGGTCCCAATGGTCTCTTACTTGGCCACTGCCCTCACAAGCAGCCTAAACTTTTCCTGCTTTCTCCACTATTTTTCTTATTCCCATCTAATCCTTTACTTAACTCAATGCCAGCGAGCCTGAATAAAGGTTTTTCTTATTCCTGCTCCTAACCAGTTAATACAAGCCTTTTTAAAATTCTTCTTATAAAAATCTATATAACTGTTCAGATTCTCAACAATTCTGCTATTCCCAAACTTTCTTCTTCGTGCGTCATCACCTCTTCAGGCTGTTTTCCTTCCTATGGCAGACATATCGGTAATCTTTCTAAGCAAATTGAGGATGCCTGTTGAGAGGTTCCTCATGCAGTCTGCTCCCCATTTTATCTCCTTATTGTCATTATGTGATCCTTCCCACACGTCCATATGATTAGAAGAAGAGGCATTCTGTTTCCTTCCAAGCTCAGTGTCTCTCAAAGAACCCATGGCCCTCACTAACCAGTATCTCAGGCTTCAGGCATCTTCTCAGGGACCTGGAAATCTCATTCTTCTCACAAAGTCATACTGGTTCAACATTCACAGTCTTTCTTTAAAGCTGCTACCCTTATGATAATTCCTGAGATGTCTTTCTCTTAAAAACTAATTTTTTAAGAAATAATTCCTTATTTCTTTTTTATTTCCATCTTTTAAAAAATGTGGCTCCTCAGAAATCAAGCTGGAGATCTGACACAACTTCAATGAGTGTGCCTTGAAAGAGCAGCAACAATGACCAAGCCTACTCATTGACCAGATTAGTTTACTGAATAGTAAAAACAGAGGCATCTGGAAAGATGCTCACAAGGCAAATCTTGTTGTCTTGTATCTCAGTTTCTGACATATTTGTTTCTGCATTCTCATCAGTAAAATAAGGATAATGCTGTTGCCCAGTTAAAGAATGGATATGAGTTTTAATAGACGTACTATGTGTACAGAATTTAGGACAGACTCTGGAATATCATAAAAATATGTATTTGTTATTATTGCCCCCAAACCCAAAACTCATTTCCTTGTAATTTCCTCTATTGTTCCTACTCTTTACTCCCCCTATCATATAGCAATACATTCTATCTCCTCTCTGATATGATGGTGCTTTAGATCTCAGCAGACAGTGCCATGTGCTTTTGAAGGATTGGATCTCCTGAGAGGGCCTGGGACACAGGGAGTGATTGGGTGACAGTGAGGAGAGAGACAACAGTGTATAACGAGTGACAGGAAGTAGGGCTGAGGGAGGGCAGACTGTGTGTGTGTGTCTGGGGGTGAAGGGGAGAGAGAGAAGAAGAGGTAGAGGGAGAGAGAGAGACAGGAGGCGGAAGACGTGGAGATGAGCGATGTGGTCAGACACCATGGGCCGCATAGGGAAGAGCATGCACAATTCGCGGCAGAGGAGGGCAAGGCACCAAGAAGCCTAAGGGCTCAGTACCTGGAGAAGGACACTGCAGACTCTGCACAGCCTGCTGTTCAGCCTTGTCGTTTCAACTCTACAACACAGTGAAGACTCTATCTCGTGCAGTCGCCCCTCGGTATCCACGGGGATTGGTTCCAGGACCCCCACAAACCCTCCAGTCCCTTACTTAGTTGGCCCTCTAGACACAGCACTGCGTGTAGACTGTGCTAGCACATTGCTCTGCTGCCCTCTAGGCACAGTTCCATCAGGCAGCATAGTGTGGTGGCTCTGGGATCAGATTTGAATTATAATCTACTAACTCTGTCATTGCAGAAATTATTTGTTTAATCTCAGTTTCCTCATCTGAAAAACTGAGACAATTATACCTGCTTTGCACATTGGAAAGCCATTTATATGCAATTCTAAATATGCTGCAGTTAGAACCATACACTAAATAGTTGCAGATTACTATTTGCACTTTCCAATATTCCTTCTTTTTAAAATCTCTCTGTCATATTTATCTACCATAGGCCAGATATGATTCTTCCCTTCATGGTTGCAGTGAGCTCCAAGAAATGGGCAGCATCAGTAAGTGATCTGCCCATTGAAGAGGAAGAAACTGCCATGAAGAGGAAGAAACTCAGGGTTGGGAGCTCTGAGCTTGAGAGCAGGTTTGGGGACAGGCCAGCTGCATAGATTTGGTAAAGTTACTGACTCGCTCTGAACATTAGCTTCTTTCTGTGGTAGAAGATGTTCACATGTGCCCTGACTTCTTTCCAGGGAAACTATTGGGTTTAACTGTGGAAGGAAGTACTCTGAAGTATCGGAAGCTCTTATCAATTAGAGTAGAGTTCTTGAGATATGATTCCTTCCCCATCATGACCTTGTATTTTTCTACTGCAAAGCACAGCCCAGTAACAAGTCAAGGTCTCTCTTCTCAACCTAAAACATCAAGGGAGATACGAGAGAGCAGGATGCCTAACCACAAATTGGCCATCCTCCCAAAAGCTGCCCCATCCCAGAACCATGCTATATAAGACATGTGGGAGAGATCACTGGATTGGTTCCCTCTATCCATAAGCCAAAGGACATTCAACAACTTACTGGTCTCTTTTTGTCTGTAGCTTCTTTCCTGACCCCTGTAGTCCTTCCCACTACTGTGCCAGCCTCTAGGATGCTGCTCTATATCGTCCACACAGGCAATTATGAGGCCATCTCTCTCCCTTGGGTCTTGGGCCCTCAAAGGAATCTCCAAGATGAATGCAGACCTCACAAACACCAAAGAAGAACTAGTATCTTTCTAGAACTTCGCCTTTGGTTACCCCAGTTATCTTCTATTGAAACTTAGTAACCCATGGGTACTCACTCCCAGGAGACATTCACTGAATCAGATGATCTTTCAATCTCTTCTCCCAACACTTGTCATCTTTATAAGAACATTTATTAGTTGACCCTCTGTCCTCCTTTCTATCTTTCTCTTTTTTTCCCAGACAAAATTCCCTCTGAGACTATTCTCTCAAGAGTTAGTCACTCTTATTCATTCAGCAGATAGGTAGAGATCACAAGCTTTGGGGCAGATATTTGGATGTAAAGATTAATAAGACACACAACTCTGTCTTTGAGAAAATCATTGTCTTCTACAGGAGGTTATGGTGAGAAAATTCTCACTGAGAGAGCAAAAACAGGCTTTGTGGGAGGTATAAGTATGTAGCAGGTCTTCTTTACCAATGTCTGCTTTCTCATAAGTTCCAACCTTCCGAATACAAGGGGTAATGTACAAAGCTAAGAGTTGTCACAAAGCAAGATATTATAAAACTAGGTGAGTGTTAATTACCTAAAAAATATGTGTTTTACCAACATAGTGTCAACTTCAAAGGCCTAAAGAGGCCTGAGTATATTAAATAACATGAGATACTTATAAAGAGTCCTGCATGCAGGTGCACAGGCCAGTGCTTGGGGACAGTCCAGACCATTTCCAGCTGGATACTGTCATTAGCAGGAATAATGTAGGTTTGGTGGAATTTATTTATTTGTTTTCTTTTCTTTTTTTTTTTAATTGAAGTGGTGTAGCATAGTTAAAAACACAAACACTACAATTAGAACTACTGTCAAATCCTGGTGTAATATCAGGTGAGTTATTTTCCCCCTGTGGCTCAGTTTACTTATCTATAAAATGGGTCTAACATAAGGGTACCCATCTCATAAGGGTATTGTCAACAGAAAGTGACCTATCGTATATTAAGCCCCTGGAATAATACCCGGGTCATAGTATGTGCTTTAAAAACAGCTATTATATGAGAAATATGTGTATCTTCTGCTCAATTTCACTGTGAACCTAAAACCATTATAAAAAATAAAATTTATTAAAAAGTAGCTATTACTATAGTTTAATGTTACTGTTTCTGTTGCTTTCTTTTTATGATACTAAATTGAAAAATACATATTATAATCTGGGAAAGGGAACATCGAAGTTAGGGAAAACCTAAGTGACTTCCTTTGGTAAAACACGGCATGCCTTGAAATTACTGATCCTGTTTATAGAGGAGTCAAGCTTCAGAACAACAGTTCAAGAAAATCAGACAGACTTGACATTGAATCGCAATTCTGGCATACTTTAGAAATTTAGCTAAGGGAATGTCCTTTCCTCTGGGAATGTGTGTTTTCGAATTCTAAAACATTGAATGTTAATACCTACCTAATTCACATATTTGATGAGAGGATTAAATAAAATAATGAAAATAAACAGTACTCAGCATTCTACAATGTAATAAATGCTAGTCACTACATTAATTATCATTATAGACATAATCTTATACATCTTTTATATTTAAAATATTCTGGTTATAAAACTAAAACATGTTCTTTGGAAAATTTGTATAGTTCAAAAGATGGAGAAATGCATATAAAAATAAGATTATATATAACGGCTTTTTTTCTATGAATATATATTTATCTTTAAAACATTTTACATAGGGATTCTTCTGTACATAATATTTTTGTTTCTTTAATTTTAATTTTATTTATTTTATTTTTTATTTTTATTTTTTTAATTTCAGCATATTATGGGGGTACAAATGTTTAGGTTACATATATTGCCTTTACCCAACCTGAGTCAGAGCTTCAAGCATGTCCATCCCCCAGAATATTTTTATCTTTTTTCATTTAAGATTTTGTCAAGAAAACTTACCTAAATATTTAAGTATTATTTAAATAGTCAACTACTATTTTATCAAATGAATATGCCTTGATTTATGTGATATTTTCATCTCAGACATTATGTATGACTATAGTTTTTTTATTTTGAACAATAATGAAATTAACTTATAATATTCACTTACTAATTAATTCAACACATATTTACGTCAATCTATGCTTTAATTATTCTATTATATAAAAGTTATACCATAAACATACATTCGTAACTTGTTTTGGGTCAATATTTTACATTTAGGACTTATTTATGTTGCCCATTCTCATTTTGACCAGGCACAAAAAAATATTCAAAATTTAATCAGAAACCAGTCAAACAGACATCTACTATCTGTGTATACCCTAAGGGAATTCTCACAGATTATGCACTGGCTAAAAAAAGAAATGAAGAGAAGGGAGGTGGTGGAGGGATGGGGAGGAGGCTAGAACACAGAGGCAAGAAGACCTGCCTTATGTGGAGGCAGAGGTATGCCTATTCAGAGCCCAGGAACCTCTATATCACTAAGTCCATGGTAGGAAATAGAGAATTGAGTCGATTAAACAGACTCTACACGTTTTCTGTTGGGTCCTCATCAGGCAGGAGGCATGGTGGTTTATATACTAGTTTTGTCATGCCTCAGACCTATGAAGAGAAACTCTCAGGAAGAACTTTCTGGTCATCGTAATTTTAACCTGTGGTGGAGAAAATAGGATGACCCAGATGACCTGACTGAAGTAGAGCTAGAAGAATGATGGAGAATTACACTTTGATGGATGCCATCAAAAAGTCTTCTTGGGTTTCTTGAATGTGAAGAGGTGGAGTTTCCCTAGACAGGAAAAGAACTTCTTTTTCTTAGCTCTGGATCCCACTTTATGTATTTTTATATTTATTTATTTGTTGAGTATATACCATGCGATAAGCCTTATATTTACATAGATTTACTGGTGAGCAAGACATACATAATTCCTCCAGGGATCTTAATTTAGTCTTGTATCCTGGTGGAAACACACACACATTCACAAACAGTTCATTACTGCATGAAAGATGTTACAACAGGAAATGCAAGTTGCTACAGAAGCAAACAGATGGATAATCTGCTGCTCTGATATTGGAAAGGAGCCACATGAATGAAAATGTCCTCAAGAGAGCAACCTCAAAGCTGAGACTCCAACATGGATTGAATTTAATCAACTGTAGGACAGGCTTCCCTGCCAAGTTTAAGTTCATATCCTCCTGAGCACTGGAATTGTTACTTAGACACGTTTGTGGTATGTCCTTGGTACTCCTTTGTCACATCACATGTTATTATGCAAGATATTCTAACTAAAGCACCTGGAAGTAAACACTGATGCCAGCTTAGTGTTGGACTTGAGGTTGTAGGACTCAGGGGTCCACAGGAAAGGTAAATCGGAGGTGAGAAGAGTCCAGGGCTTCTGCTAGTGGAGCAAGGTCAAGGGGGCACAACCTCAGAAAGAGTTAGAGAGTTCTGCCAGAACCAGGTCTTGGGGAAGAGTGCAGGAGTTCTGATGTTTCTGATATGACTCAGGGGTCCAAAGAGTTCAGCCAGGATAGAAAAAGGAGAAGGTCCTTGGTCAGGTAGAAAAGACGGAAGCATTCCCAAAGAGCCGTGGAAGGAGGCATATTTCTTGAGATGAGTTAAAGCAAATGACATTTAATCTGGTCTCTGCTAATTTCTGTTCTGGGTACTTTGTCCTTTCTAGTTTTTGTTTAGTTTAATTTTAGTTTCAGTGTTTATAGATTGGTGATGGTGATCAGTAAAGTCTTCCTCTGGGCAGCTTTTGATGCTATCAAAAATGTCAGTTCTCAGATGTAAGAGGAGACATTGGGATACAGGCAAGAAAAGATCTGTCATTTTAAACCATAGCTCAATAAATAAATTTACCTATACTTTATTTGGGGCAGGGGAAAAATCTTTGAGAACATGGGGTGTCACAATAGGTACTGAATGCCATAAATTTTTAGCCTGATTAGGGGCCTTCTTATGGGCTTTCAATGGCAGTTTTAGCCCCAGAACTCAGGATTGTTCTTTCTTAGGCCTAGGAGCTTGATGATGGCACGGCGGATCTCCTTGGTCTTAATACTGTATATAATCGGATTAAGCATGGGAGGCACAAAAAGGTAGACGTTGGCCATAAGAAGGTGGACGGCAGGTGGAGCATGCTTCCCAAAACGGTGTACCAGAGACAGCCCCGTCATGGGCACAAAGAACACTAGCACAGCACAGAGATGAGATGTACATGTTTGGAAGGCACGGAGCTGCTCCTCTTGGGAGGCTAGGCCTGCCACTGTGTGCAGAATGAGACTGTAGGACAGTGCAATGAGCACTAGGTCTAGCATCACAGTGAACACTACCAATGTCAGCCCATACAGATTGTTGAAGGTAGTGTCTGTGCAGGCCAGGTGTATCACTTCCTGGTGCAGGCAGAATGAGTGGGAGAGCACTAGAGATCCACAGTAGGGAAAAGCCTTCAGGAGGAGGACAATAGGGACAAGAGCCACAGGTCCCCGGAGGATGACAATCAGGCCTGCCTGGACCACTCGCTGGCCAGTGATAATGGCTGAGTACCTTAGGGGGTGGCAAATGGCCACAAAGCGGTCAAATGACATGACAAGCAGCACTGAGGACTCCATGAAGGAAAATGAGTGAATACAGAACATCTGGATTTGGCAGGCTCCAAAGTAGATGCTACGGGAGTTGAACCAAAAGATCCCCATGGTGGTGGGCAAGGTGGACACTGACAGTCCCAGGTCAGTGAGGGCCAGCAAGGAGAGCAGACAGTACATGGGTGTGTGCAGGTGGGGGTTGGTCTTAATAATTATTAGAATTAAACAATTGCCTGAGATGGCCACCAGGTACATGAAGAAAAAGGGGATGAAAATCCAGTGTTGGATGGCTTCCAATCCAGGAAAGCCAGTGAGGTAGAACATGGGGCTAAACTGAGTAATGTTGGGCAGCACCACAAATTGAGGACTGAGCGGGTATTGGGCTGACATTCCTCAGGGACTGAGCTGAAAAGAAATGGACATTTCTGGTTATTAATTCTTCAGCTTCACTAACATGTGCAACATCATAAATAGCATCATGATTATCATCACCTTTGGTATCATCTACTCCACTATTGCCAATTTCACCACCCTTCCTACCTTATTGGAACTTTCTTAGCTAATGCTATCCTCACCGGTTTTCCTCTATATGTCTGTTATTTTTATTACTTCCCTGTCTTCTTTGCTGGTGCATCTCCATTGCTTATCCCTTGAATATAGTTTTCCCATCCTTGGCAGGTTTGTGGCTATACTCTATTATTTCTCTCCAGGCCATGTCATCTGTTCCCATCATTTCATTTCCCATACACATGCTGATAAATATCAAATTTATAGCTCCAGAACTTCTCTTCTTCTCTTTTGATTTCCAAACTCATATATATAGCAGTACACTGAGCATCTGCACATTAATGGTTTATAGTTACCTCAAAGGCATGTCAAAAATATAACTTATCATCTCTTCCCCAAAACCCTTATTTATTTGTATTAGTTATCTAAGTGGCCTAAGTAAAAGTTAAGTTTTATGTTGGATTCCTCTATATCACACCTCTTTCCAGTTTCTAATGAACCAATCAACAAGTCCTGGCATTTTCATTTACCAGGATTTCAGTGAATCTGTTTATTCACTATCATCTCTGTTAATGCTAACCTAATTCACATCGCTGTTAATTCTTGGTGGATTACTCCAACAACATCTAGTTTGCACTACTCTAATCATTTGATTACTCCACAGCAAGAGATATGTTTGTAAAACCAAATTTGACATGAAATACAAAAGGTTAAAAAATGATATTCAAGGGCCTATCTTACTTTATCTCTGCTTATATCCTCTATTCTAATCTATCCTGATTTTCTCATTCATATTTATGGTGTCAATGACATGAAACAATTCTTCCTGTTTCTTTAGTATTCTTGCTCATATTTAAATATTTATCTTTTCATTCTTCCTGGAATAAAAGCAGTTCTTTTAGAATAGCTTTCCCTTACTCTTTGTCTAGTTACTCCTGTTCACACAACCTGCTTCAGCTCAGACATGGTATCTTTGAGAAAGCCTTCTTAAATTCTTCAGGTTTGGTTTAGATACCCCTCCTATGTGCTCATTCTACTCTCACTACCATGGCACTTCTCATGCACTATTGTCATTTTCTATATTGCTTCCAAAATGTGAACTCCTTGTGGACAGAGACCATGTCTGTCCTTTTTTCCCAAATTTTACCATTAGAGCTAGAGATTGGCATTTTGAACCATCACATTATTGGAACCCTTTAAATATTATTTGCATTAATTAATAAATGTTTATTTTTTTACCATTAATCTTATTTCAATAATTATTCATTGATTCAACAAATACTTATTGAACTTGTATTTACTGGGAATATAATGGTGAAGAGAAACAGAATAGAATCAAAATCAAACATATATACATATTATCATGCAAGGTAAGCAGTGCTATAAAGAATATGGAGCTAGTAAAGGAGGAAGGTGAGAGGGATGCATTTTAGATAGGGTAGTCAGAGGAGACTCTCTCAGGAGGGAACTTTACAGAAGACATTTGAATCACATCAGGGGGCAAGTGTGTGGACATCTTGAAGGAGAAAATTCCAGGCAGAGGGAAAAGCAAGTGAAAGTTCCTGAAGCAGGTAGCAGCTGGACAAATTTGAAAGATAAGAAGGGGCCAATGTATATGTAATGAAGGAAGCAAGGTGGGGAGTGATGGGAAATGCTCATGAAGCAGCAGCTAAGTCCTAGATCATGTATGGTCTGGTAGGTCACATAAGCTACTTTGAATTTTATTATACTTATGAGTTAGAGTTGAGAGCAGAGGTGCCACATGCATAAAAGGTTTCAGAGGGTCCAGGCTGGAGACAAGGAGACAAGTTAAAAGGGTTTTATATTTGCCCAGGAAAATAGAAAGTGATGGTGGAAGATGTGAGAAGTGGTAGGGTTAGTTAGATTAGATTGGATGTTAAGATAAATAGAATAGTCAAGGACAAAGCCAAGATTCTGTGCAGTGATATCGGCACTGAGTCAGTGATGTGGGCAATGAATTGTGGGGAATAAGTTTGAGAAATTAAGAGTTCTGTTTTTAACATGTTAAAATAGATGCCTATTAAACTTAGAAGGAAAAATGTTGGGAAACTAGTAGAAATGCAGACTTTAAAAATCAGTTCAGGAAGAATTATAAATTTGGAAGGTACTGGTATATAGACTGGATAACAACATTAAGAAGTGAATGTAGAAGTTCCTAGTATTGATGTCTTGACAAATCCCCTATTCAAAGATCAATAAGAAAAAGATCCAGAAAAGGAGACTGAGGGAAAAAAGGCCAGTTGCATAGGAAGGAAACCAGGACCATGTGGTCATGTATATACTTCAAGAGGGATTAGTCAATTATCCACAAGGTTATTGAGGGGGTCCAGGTAATAAGGATTGAGAGATGACCAAAGGCTAAGCAATGTGGAGCCCATTGCCAATATTTACAGGAGCAGGTCCATGGAGAGTTTGGGAATAAAATCTGATTTAGTGTGTTCAAGAGAAAAAGTGGGGGGAGAGAGAACAGATGGACTAGGGAATCGTGGGAGAATTCCAGGTAGTGCAGGAGGTCCATTTGATGTTCATAAATTCAAAACCAGTCAGCATTTAGGTGTAGTTTTCATGAAGACATTTAGCTGCCCAAATGCAGGAAAAACTATGTGGAGAGTTGAATCTAACCAGACTGAAATTAGCATAGGCTAGCATGACTAAACTTCAGGATGTGTGCAAAGGAATGGTTATGATGATGTACTATGGAACTGAAATAAAAGCTAAAACATGAGCAGGTGAGGGGCAGTGAAAAGGGAGCAGAGTTCTAGAGTCTGGGATGGAACTGAGCTGCTACATAGTAAAGGACACAATCCTTGGTGAGAGGAGGCCAAGGAGCCGAGAATGAGGATGCTGATTGGATCAATAAAAGCAATACCGACATCACTAAGAATTATGTCTAGATCAGTAGTGGAAAGAAAAAAAGGTGAATCAGTGTTAAAAAATATTCAGTAAATAAAGTGGCATGGCTGGAAAAGTGGTTGGTGGGGGCAATAAGGAGGAATAGTGGTGATGATGCATGATGTCACTGAAAGAAACGTGGGATGAAGTGGCAAGAAGGAAAAATGTTCAGGAAGACCAGGTCATCCCTACATCAGGCTGGTAAGGGGGTTAAAGAACAATCCACATTCATCCTCTCCATTTCCTCATTCCTCAGTTCACCATGCAAGCAACCACCCCATGATTTTTATTTTTTTTGTTTAACCCACTCAGCTAAAGCAATGCTCCTTAAATTCACCAGTGACCTCCAGGGGCCAAATTCAATGGAAAGCCTTAATTATGCCTGGTTTTTTGTTTGTTTGTTTTTTGTTTTTTCTTACAATACTTACACCTTGTGGCTGTGCCTACCTTTTTATAGTTCTCTCTTACAATTCTTGATGCCAGTATCTGCTGCTTCTCTTCTGATTTTTATGGCAGCTCCTATTGAGTCCCTTCTTTCCATTGCTCAAATGTTCATGCTATGTACTTAGTTTTCTGACCTTGGACACTTTAACTTCTCATTCATCGCCTATTATTATTATTAATAATAATAATGAACTGATGACTCCTAAATATTTATTTCTAGTCCAGGTAGCTCTGGTATGTATCAGACCTGAATTTCAATTTTTCCATAAGATGTTTCCAAAAGGATGCCATTAGATGTGTTAGACCTAACACATCTAACATTGAGCCCAGTATCCATATCTCCATACCTAATTCTCCTCATATTTATGCATTTTGGATATCATCCAAGACAACATTTTTGTACCTTGTTTTACTCAACCCTCTCCCTCTTTCCATATCTAATTTTTGACTAAGTCTTTCTTACCTTAAATATATCTATAACCCACCCCTTTGTCTCCATCCCTGCACTTACTGTCCTAGTTTTCATTGTTGTCACATCTGCTTGACTGACCTTTCACTCAGCTTGCGCAGCATGGCCCGTATCCCTGGTCCATCCCGCTTGGTCCATCCTCTACTGCAGTTGTGGAGATTATCCCAAAAATGCTAACTCTGTGAATCGCTGCACTGTTTTCAGTCCCTGAATAGCTCCCCTTTCACCAAATGAAGTTCAATCTTGTAAAAAAAGGAACTAACATGATAGTTGTCATTTATGGAGGCTGTACATGATTCAGACACTGCATAAAACTTTACAAAATCATATTTATTTCTCATATTTATGAAGCATTTTATCCCCACTTCACTGAGGAAGAAACTACAAAAAAGGTTAAGTAACCTTGTCAAGGTCTCACAGTGAACTAATATCGGACGGAGATGGAATTTGAGCCCTAGTCTGCCAGATTCCAAAGTGCATGGCCCCCAAATGACGTAACACTCTATAACGTTCTGTGTTCAGCCAGGCCCCTCCTGCTTTGGAACCTTTCCAAATCCATCTCTTTCCTATCCCAGTCACCACACCTGTATCTGTCTTTCTTCAGTTCCCCATACATACTTTTCTTGTTTCTATTCTTCTATGTTTATTGCTTTCTTGGCAAAAAAAAAAAACACAAAAAACCCTGTTTTTCCAATCAGTAAACACTTGCTGATCCTTTAAGACTTAGTACAAATATCACTACTTCTGACAAATCTTTCCTGACTTCCTTGCTTAGAGTTAGGTAAATCCTTCTCTGTACTCACGTAGTATCTTTTATGTAGCACTGTTAGAGTGTAAATATGCACATTCTTTATATTTTTTTATTTTAATACTTATTTGTACTTACATATAGAATATACTTATATATACACCTATATAAGTACAAATCGGTATGACTATAAATATACATAAGTATATAGATTTACTCATATATACTTTATATATTAATAACATATATTAATTATATATGCATAAGGAGTATACATATATAAGTAAAATATATATTTATGTGCATAAATGTATAAATATACAAA